TTTGATTGGCCCGCATAGATGAGCTTTCAAAGTTCCTATGTATCATACTACCAACCTAAAAATTTTAAACAGGGCCCTTTAAAAGAAATTATTACATTTCAACAGTATTATTATTTCACGAAAGCGTTGCCGACCGCCTGACGGCGGTCGGATTTAAGTATATAGCCTAACCTAATCTAATACTTCCGCTTACCTTATTTAAAAATATATTGTTTCTTAATTGCCTCCATTAATGATTCCATCATATCGACTTTGTTTTTGCGGCAAAATCGACGCCATAAATACTCGCACAGGCGGTCGGCGAAATCATTATCGTGGAAAACAAATTCAAATGAAACATTTGATTTATCCCGCCAAAATGGCCGCCGAATGCTCATCTATGCGGGCCAATCAAATAATAGATGGAAGCAACATGGCGTCAAAGTAGCGTGTAAAATACCCTAAAAACGTGAAACTTTACATACTCATAACTTTTGAACCGCTAATTTCCTAAAGTTACGACCTACATTTATGGATTCTACGTGTCAAAAACTACTAAAGAGCAAGAAAAAAGGGCAATAATTTTATGTCCCTGGAATCAAAGTTCAGCCTATTCATTATCTGTTTTATTCGTTTATTACCGTAATTTTATTTTATCTCATTGTTGTCTTTTATTTATTTATTTATTCGCAACGGTATAATTGTGTGATTAATAAACCTGCGCAATTTACGTCCCTCTGCGTGATTTAATTGTTCAATTTATTTATCGTCTTATCGTATTTACCGTTCTATTTGGTTCTATATATATTAATATCAGTGGTTAATATCGCTTTTTCATGTGTTAATGGTTTACGCGATTTACATTGCTGCCTCGTTTTATTTATTTCATTACCCATCGTATTCTATTTTATTTATTTTATTTACCATCTACATTCATATTTCATATCTCATGGTTCATATTATTTCATGTCTTTCGCGTCATTACGAGTATTGCATTTATTTCCTTTTATTTTGTGATTCAATACGTAGTCCGCTTGTCATCCGGTTGTTCGGCTTATTGTTTGGTTGTTTGGTTTATTTATTTATTTTATTTTATTCTATTTGTCATTTTCATCGATTCATATCCGTGGTGCAACGTATTTAACGTGTTTAATGGTTACGTGGTTACGTGGTTTATGCGGTTACGCGGTTTACTTTTCTTGTTCTCTCCATTCTTGATTTTCGATTATATCATTCATCGTATTTATTCCTTATTGCTTTACTTCTTTTCATATTGTGGCTTACATATTTCATTTCATTTCATTTCATTTTGGTCTTTTCACAACGATGCAGCAGTGACATGTGCTTAAATAAATCGAATTGATTAATAAATAAATAAATTGGACAATCCGGGTTGTGTTTTAATTGTTCCTCTTGTTCCAGTTCCAGTTTTGTTTTCAGTTTATTTCAGATTTACCGTGTTTGCTTAATGGTGTGGTGCGATGAGTGATTGCTTTTGTGCTTTTGGTGTAAATTGTTTTGTGTAGTTTATTTGTTGGGTGGTGGGTGCTCATTTACTTTCCTTTACTTACTTACTTACTTATAATATTGTATTACATTCACGCTTTCTTGCTTTCATTCACGCCTTCTTTCACTCACGTTACCTTCCTTACCTTCTTTATTTTTCTAAATCTTGCATTTCCTTAATCTTCCCATTCATTCAGTCATTACTCATTAATTCATTAACTCATTCATTCATTCTGATCAATTAAAGTTAAATTAATGGATATGATATGATTTATTTTACTTTAGTTTTATTTCTATGATGATGAGTGGTTTTGTCCATTCAAATGCTTTGATCGTGCATGGTTTGTTATAATCTTATCATTTAAGTATCCTTATTTACTTATTTACTTATTTAGTTATTTATTGTTAGTCTATACACTGGTATAGTGTTTATCGAACTACGCAGTTTACATTTGATTTGATTTGATTTATTGGTCGCTTTAGTTACTTTATTTTGATACGTCATTCAATAACCAGTTCTATTTGCATTTGCATTGACATAATCATTTATCATTTACCATTTACCATTTATGATTTAGTTTGTAACCTACTTTGTGAGGAAATAGAGTGTTGTAGCTAATAATCTTTACGGTTATATTTCATTGAGTTCACTTCTTGTATTTTGTATCTATTTAGTATATTTTATTTTGTTTTACATTATATTACATTACATTACATTACTTTACATTATTTACATTATGTTGGTTACGGCCTTCACCTTATATTTTACGCCTTATTATTTATCTTGTTATTTACCTCATTCTTCTTTATTATCTTTAATTGATTACTTCACTGTCCAGTCGTTCATTCTTTCATTCTCTCACTGTTTATTTGTTCTGACACATTCCTGCTTTCTTGCTTTCACTCATGCCTTCTTACCTTCTTTATTTTCCTTAATCTTTAATTTCCTTAATCGTTCCATTCATTCATTCATTATTCATTATTCATTATTCATTATTCATTCACTCATTCATTCTGATCAATTAAAGTTAATGGTTATGATTTATTTTACCTTATTTAGTTTATTTTAATTAAGTTTTGCTATCTCTACGATGATGAGTGGTTTTGTCCACTCAAATGCTTTGATTGATTGTGCGCGAATTTTACTATAATCTTATCATTCAAGTACTCTTATTTATTATTACTTATTTATTTATTCTAGTTTATTTTATTTCATTTTATTCTTATTTCAGTTTATACACTGGTATAGTGTTATTGAACTACGTACTTTACATTTGATTTCATTGTTACCTTAGCTACTTTATTTTGATACGTCATCCAATAATTGGTTCTATTTGCATTTTCATTGACATAATCATTTACCGTTTATAATTTAGCTTATAACCTACCTTGGTGAGGAAATAGAGTGTTGTAGCTAATAATCTTTACGGTTATATTTCATTGAGTTCACTTCTTGTATTTTGTATTCTATTTTAGTATATTTCATTTTGTTTTACATTATATTACATTACATTACATGACATTATTTACATTATGTTGGTCACAGCCTTCACTTTATATTTTATGCCTTATTATTTATCTTGTTATTTACCTCATTCTTCTTTATTATCTTTAATTGATTATTTCACTGTTCAGTCATTCATTCTTTCATTCTCTCATTGTTTATTCGTTCTGACCCATCCCTGCCTTTTGCTCTCACTCACGCCTTCTTACCTTCTTTATTTTCCTTAATCTTTAATTTCCTTAATCGTTCCATTCACTCATTCATTATTCATTCACTCACTCATTCTGATCAATTAAAGTTAATGGATATGATTTATTTTACCTTATTTTACTTTATTTTAATTAAGTTTTGCTCTCTCTACAATGATAGGTGGTTTTGTCCATCCAAATGCTTTGATTGTGCGTGAACTTTATTATAATCTTTTCATTCAAGTACTCTTATTTATTATATACTTATTTATCTATTTTATTTTATTTCATTTTATTCTTGTTTTAGTTTATACACTGGTATAGTGTTTATTGAACTACGTACTTTACATTTGATTTCATTGTTGCTTAGCTATTTATTTTGATACGTCATCCAATAATCATTCTATTTGCATTTGCATTGACATAATCGTTTGCCATTTATAATTTAGGTTATAACCTACTTTGGTGAGGAAATAGAGTCTTGTAGCTAATAATCTTTACGGTTATATTTCATTGAGTTCATTTCTTGTATTTTGTATTCTATTATAGTATATTTCATTTTGTTTTACATTATATTACATTACATTACATGACATTATTTACATTATGTTGGTTACAGCCTTCACTTTATATTTTATGCCTTATTATTTATCTTGTTATTTACCTCATTCTTCTTTATTATCTTTAATTGATTATTTCGCTGTTCAGTCATTCATTCATTCTCTCATTGTTTATCCGTTCTGACATATTACTGCTTTTTGGTCTCACTCACGCCTTCAACCTTTTTTATTTTCCTTAATCTTTAATTTCCTTAATCGTTCCATTCATTCATTTATTATTTATTCATTATTCATTATTCATTCACTCATTCATTCTGATCAATTAAAGTTAATGGATATGATTTATATTACTTTATTTTACTTTATTTTAATTACGTTTTGCTCTCTCTACAATGATAAGTGGTTTTGTCCATCCAAATGTTTTGATTGTGCGTGAATTTTATTATAATCTTATCATTCAAGTACTCTTATTTATTATTTACTTATTTATTTATTCTATTTTATTTTATTTCATTTTATTGTTATTTCAGTTTATACACTGGTATAGTGTTTATTGAACTGCGTACTTTATATTTGGTTCATTTATTTGTTGCTTTAGCTACTCTATTTTGATATGTCATTCATTAATTAGTTCTGTTTGCAATTGTATTGACATGATCATTTATCATCTACCATTTACCGTTTACAATCTAACTTATAATCTACTCTAGTGAGAAATAGAGTATTGTAGTTAATAATCTTTACGTTTATATTTATTGAGTTCATTTCTTGTATTTTGTATTTTGTATTCAGTTTATTATTACATTCTGTTTTACAGTATATTGCATTACTTATATTACAGTGCATTACATTACATTATCTACATTAGGTTGGTTACGGCCTTCACTTTATACTTTATGCTTATTATTATTTTTTACTTCATTCTTCTTTAATATCTTTAATTGATTTCATTGTTCAGTCGTTCATTTCATGCTGTCATTGTTCATTCATTCTGAATTAATTGAATCAAGGTAACTGTTAAGATTTAATTTATTTTGACTCATGATAAGTTCTGTAAATGGTATTAATATTAATATAATTATGGTTTGTTTGCATACGATTATCCTATATATATTTTTCTATATTTAATTTATTTGTGCCACGTATCACTGTTTACCATCATTTATTTTATTTTATTTCTTGTCACCTCTATCCTTGGACATTCCTTGGACATTTTGACATTTTGATATTCTTCTCTGGTATTCTTTAATTTAATTTATTCAAGCCGTTTCTCTTCGATAATAGTATAGCTTTTTGATGACGGTGTGCTGTTCCTGTAGGAATTAATATTCATGTCATTAACTTGTGCTACTCTTGTTTAAATTTATTATGCGTTATTACAATCATTACCTTGTTTGCTTCTTTTCTTTTCTTTTATATTTCCTTTCTGCTAGATACCTGCTGCCTTGGTTGCTTTGATTCTATTTTGGTTTATTTTATTTTATTAACTGACTGGATGTTGCTTGATTGGTCCTACGTGACTTTCCTGACTATATGCGTTATTTGACGTTGTGAGATGGTTGTTCGAGCGAACTGTTTCCCGAATGTCTAAAGCCGAGTATCCACCTGTATCCAACGCCCGTATCGTATCACCGTTCCGAACCCTTTTGAATAGGCAGACGTTGCCTCGTTGCATGCCACGGCGTGCTACGGCTCGGACAATATTTCTTCGTTTCTTGATAGAAACGGTTCGGCAATAGGACTGGGCCACTACAGGCGAGGAGTTTCGTTTTGCTGCGTGCCGTTCCAAAGGAACGGAGGCAACGGACCCATCCGAAAAATTTGTCGATTCTTTGCCGTTGTGTCGAAGGAAAGGTTTATGCGTTTGCACTTGACATAGCGTTTCATGCCGTCACTTGGGTTTCAATTTATTTGAAATCTTGCAGTATTATTGGATTCATTTCAAAATCGATGAAATTATTTATGAACTTAATCTAATTTAATTTAGACAAATTTTATCGTCTAAATATATTTAAAGAGATCAATTATCTTCGGTGATACGCTGTACATAAAAGAGCAATGTTAATAAGAACCTCTGTGATTATTGAAAAAGGACAATGTTAATTATCCAGAGATTTTTCCGTTGCCGAATATCGAAAGTTCTATTGGGCTGTGATACGGAGGTGAAGGAACGGGCCGATCCGAAAATTGTCGGTTTCTTGCTGTTCAAAGGATAGGTTCGGAGACCACTTGAAACGTAAAAACAACATACCCAGGCGAAGGCCCGAAATGCTATGTCAAGTGGAAACATGACACTTGAGGCTCGAGATAATATGATCTGGAATCGGATATATCAGTGAGATAATACTAATGCAATGACTGAACTTTGTTATTTTTCATTTTTTTCTTATAAAACTTTTACCAAGATATTTGTGACGTTTTTCTGATTAAAATGATACCAAACACGATATGGTTAGGACAATTACAATAAAGAAACAGCATGCAGGAAATCAAAACTTCTCGCCTATAGGAGTTTCTTTCAAGAAACGAAGAAATATTGTCCGAGCCGTAGCACGCCGTGGCATGCAACGAGGCAACGTCTGCCTATTCAAAAGGGTTCGGAACGGTGATACGATACGGGCGTTTGATACAGGTGGATACTCGGCTTAACGCGACTGACTTCTGTCGTATTGCCATCCCTCTCATCGGCGCCCATCTCTCTCACGCCGTTGGCCAGCGGTGTGGGGCGAGGACGCCGGGAGAGAGAGGGAGAGGTGCGAGCCTGTCGTCGCTCTGCGACGGGGCTCACTCTTGTTTTCAAAAACTCTCGCGAACGCTTTTCGGAGAATTCATATCCGCAAATCTCTCCTTTTTTCTTTTTCTGGCGCTTCGCTCGAACCAAGTGCTTCGGCGAACCGCAATAACGCGGATTAATTCAGTGAATAGAGGATTGAAATATAAACTTTTTATTCCTAAGACTAACTGTTAATTTATTAAATACAACGAGTTTTTGCTAAAACTACGCAACACGTTGCTGTGGAGTTCATTGCTTCCGCCTTTTCAAGACTCCTGCGCTTCGGTAAACGCGATCCGGCACCTCGCTTATTTTCCTAAAGATTTCCAATCGCGGGAAATACGCCGCGACGAAATTTGCCGGAACAATGGTTATATTTGATTTCGATTCTGTTTAGGTTGAATGTTTCATTCGTTTATTTATTCGGCCTTTCGTTCTGTGGCGGTTTCTTGGTTTCGTTGTTCTGCGTAGTTTGTTTCCTGCGGCGCGATAGGCAGTAACATGATGCGTCCTGCAATCTGCGGATCTTATTCGGGTTGATTTCATTTCTTTCATTTCATTCTATCTTCATCATTATTTATGCTTAATATTTACTTCATCCTACACTATTGCAAACGTATGATTTATATATTTATAAATAATAAATGATAGCCGTGGTATTGTTTTATTAATTGATTTATTCTTGATTTTAATCCGTCTGGGGTTCTATTTGTTGCGCGTTTGCTTTTATAATTACCTTTTCCGTGAGTCGTGGTATTGTTTTATTAATTGATTTATTCATGATTTTAATCCGTCTGGGATCTTATTTGTCCGTTTATAATTACCTTTCCGTGAATAGTATTGGACATCGGACTTATCTTTTATGGTAAGTCTGATGGTAAGTATGGCTTCCTAGGATGGCGCGGTTGCACGACGGATAGTTTAGCTGTCGGTAACTGTGATGTAGCAGATATCTGGCGCGCGGTGGGTAACTGCTGCGCGGCGGATAGTTGGTCGGTGGATAACCGTTACGGGATGAACGGCCGAGTATTATATGGTAAATAAGTAGAATGCTTGTGGCCGATAATATTTGGCTGCCGGTGCTGCGGATGGTTACCAACTAGGGATAATTTGTAATTATTATCAACGGATAGTGTTGCGTACTTTATTTAGTGAGATACCGGAATGTTTTCCGCCATCGTTACCTTCCGTTACATTCTATTCCTGTTTGGTTTCGGTCACTGTAATTTATTGAAAGTGTTTTATTGATGTATTTGGTCGCTGGCGCTTGTACGTTCCGTGTAATAATCAATTAATTAATTTGATAACTAATTTAATAGACAACAGACATAATGGGACGAACTGTAAATTTTACAAAATTTCTCGAAGGTTACGCATCTATATGGCATATGGTTTATGGCTTAAGCTTAAGCTTCACGCGGTTTCTTATCTCTGATTGACATGATCATCGGCGGCACTGGTTTACTCCATCTCCATGTGCCATATACTCAGTTGAGACATGGAGGAGGATCGTATATTAATTGAATCGTTAAATTGCTGAATTGCTGAGAGTTTTGATTAGGCCATTAATATTGAATATTGAATATCGGTGCGTGTGTGTTTGTGATTTGTGCGTGTACCCATTGCAATGAGTGATGATATGCGCTATTGTGCTCCGTTTTCTGATATATTATATTTATTTATATTTATTTATATATTTGTATATTTATATTTACATATTATTATTATACTTATACATATTTTTATACTTATACTGATACCCAATTTACATATTATATGCAATAAATTCAGTTAGTACTGTGTAATATTTTGCATCATTATCTTTCTACGACTAATTAATGAATAAAGTTAATTGACAGCTATATCTGAAACACTTGGTTGCCTTGTTGGTTGCCTTGTTGAGTGCTGAGTGTATTCGCTTTATCTTACCGTACCTTCTTAATATTATGTCTGTTTAGGATAATATAATCTGCCTCATTGCATATTCAACGTAATGGATTTTGTAAATTTATTTGATTTAGCCTCATTGGACGACTGCGTTTATGTGAGATGTATGAATGAGTGTATGGATGTGCTTGTTGGTGGAATGCACTTCAATGTATCTTATTCTATTTTATTTTGTGTCAGTTACGTTCGTCTATATACTATACTTTACACTTTCTTTACTTTCCTTACTCTCTCTATCTGCCTTTATATGCCTTAACTTGATTAACTTCTTTAATAGCTCTATTGCTCACTCACTCACTCATTCATTCATTCGCTTATTATCTACAATTATTTATTTAGAGTTATTTGGATTTAAGTACGGTTAATTTTCCTGAGAGGATAGATGATTTTGTTCATTCAAATGCTTGACACCGTGTGGCTTCTGTTATAATCACACCATCTCAATTTCATTTCAAATACCCTACTTCTTTGCTTATTTATTTATTTATCTGTTATCCTTTATTTTATTCTTTTACTATGTAATGGTGTGGTGTCTAATTGAACCACGCACCTTATATTTGATTTGTTTTTATTTGTCATTATATTTATTATTTACTATCTTTATACATCAGTCGGTTATGAATTTTACCTTCTATTTGCATTTGCATGGACATAATCACTTACAATTTATAATCTATAATTTATAAAGTAGTGGGGATGGAGTCAATAATGTTTACGGTCATATTTAATTAGAATATAACTCACCTGTTGTATTTATCTTATTTTCTTTTACATTATTTTGCATTATACTACATTATGTCAGCTATGTCTGTTAAGCGTTACACACTTTCATTTTCTGTAGTTCCTCAGTTTGTGAATATCTCCAGCTGTTCCTCTCGCATTCAGTATTCATTCATTCATTTATTATTCATTATTCATTTTGATGGTTTTTGATGTTGTTTGATTATATTATACATTGTTTGATCTGATTTATTTTATGTTTTTTTGATTTATTTTCTGATTCATATTTCCTTTCTGCCAGTTGCTTGTTGCCTTGCTGCCTTGACTTTATTCTGGTTTTATTTATTTTGTTAATTAATATTATTTGACTGGGTGTTGTTTGAATGGTTCCATGGGTTTTCCTGACTATATGCGTATCATATTGATTTTGCTTTGGTTTAGGGTCTTATTTTATCTATTTATTCGGCCTCTCATTCCTTGGCGGTTGTTTTCCTTTATCTTCATTGCCTTTTGTATAATTTGTTTCTTTGCGACGTTATCATGCAGTAACGCAGTGCGTCCTGCAATCTGCGCAATCTGCGGGACTTATTCGGGCTGATTTTATGATTTTATTTTTTCTAATTATTTTATTGACTTACATCGTGTCAGGCTACTTTATGCGTTTTAACTATAATTATATTCTATCTTATTATTTTATCACAAAACTTATATGATGTTTATATAGGTATTGTATTTATAACCATAATATTGACTTATTTCTTTATATAATTAATTAATTAATGCCTGATGTTGGCCCGTTTGAAGTTTATCTCTGATTCCATTGATTTAGCATAATTATCTATTCGATTATAGTATTGTATACCAGACTTATCTTTGATGGTAAGTCTGATGGTAAGTACGGTTTCCCAGGATTGCGCGGCAGCACGATGGACAGTTCTGCAGTCGGTAACTGTGTAACTGGTAATTGGCACGTGGTAGGTGACTACTGCGCGGCAGATAATTTGCCTGTGGACAGCCGTTACGGAGTGAGCGGCCGAGTATCACTGTCTGGTAAACGGAATATTTGTTGCTGGTAATATCCTTGGTACTGCGGTTGATTACCAACTAGGCACAGCTTGCGGCTTATGGCCATCTTTTGTAGGTACATTATCTTTGGTTTTGGTCATTTTGATTTGTTCAAACTGTTTTGTTTATGCATTTTCGCTTTTCGCTTACGAGCACTTATATACTCTC